ACAGAACTCAACCAGACTAAAACAGAACTCAACCAGGACTAAAACAGAACTCAACCAGGACTAAAACAGAACTCAACCAGGACTAAAACAGAACTCAACCAGGACTAAAACAGAACTCAACCAGGACTAAAACAGAACTCAACCAGGACCAAAACAGAACTCAACCAGGACTAAAACAGAACTCAACCAGGACTAAAACAGAACTCAACCAGGACTAAAACAGAACTCAACCAGGACTAAAACAGGACTGAACCAGGACTAAACTTCGTCTGGTCTCTGGTCTCTGTCCTGGTCTCTGGTCTGGTCTCTGGTCTGGTCGTGGTCCTGGTCTTGGTCCTGGTCTTGGTCCCTGGTCTTGGTCTGGTCTGGTCTGGTCGTCTGGTCTGGTCTCTGGTCTGGTCTGTCTGGTCTGGTCTGGTCTCTGGTCTGGTCTCTGGTCTCTGGTCTGGTCTTGGTCTGGTCTTGGTCTCTGGTCTCTGGTGGTCTTGGTCTGGTCTGGTCCTGTCTGGTCTGCGTCCTGGTCTTGGTCTGGTCTCTGGTCCTGGTCTCTGGTCTCTGGTCTCTGGTCTGGTCTGGTCTTGGTCCCTGGTCTCTGGTCTTGGTCTCTGGTCCTGGTCTCTGGTCCTGGTCCTGGTCTCTGGTCCTGGTCTCTGGTCCTGGTCTCTGGTCTGGTCTCTGGTCTTGGTCTCTGGTCCTGGTCTCTGGTCCTGGTCCTGGTCCTGGTCTCTGGTCTCTGGTCTGGTCTTGGTCTCTGGTCTTGGTCTCTGGTCTTGGTCCTGGTCTCTGGTCTCTGGTCTCTGGTCCTGGTCTTGGTCCTGGTCTGGTCTGGTCTGGTCCTGGTCTAAAGGATACTGCTGATGATGGAGCAGAAGGTCCAGAGCGTGAGCAGGAGTCGGGTCTTGGTCCTGGTCTCTGGTCTCTGGTCTGGTCTGGTCCTGGTCTTGGTCCTGGTCTTGGTCCTGTCTTGGTCCTGGTCTTGGTCCTGGTCTAAAGGATACTGCTGATGATGGAGCAGAAGCTCCAGAGGTGAGCAGGAGTCGGGTCTCTGGTCTGGTCTTGGTCCTGGTCCTGGTCTCTGGTCTTCTCTTGGTCCTGGTCTCTGGTCTCTGGTCTTGGTCTCTGGTCTTGGTCCTGGTCTTGGTCCTGGTCTCTGGTCCTGGTCTTGGTCCTGGTCTCTGGTCTTGGTCCTGGTCTTGGTCTCTGGTCCTGGTCTCTGGTCTGGTCTTGGTCCTGGTCTTGGTCCTGGTCTTGGTCTTGGTCTAAAGGATACTGCTGATGATGGAGCAGAAGGTCCAGAGCGTGAGCAGGAGTCGGGTCTTGGTCCTGGTCTCTGGTCTTGGTCCTGGTCTTGGTCCTGGTCTCTGGTCTTGGTCCTGGTCTGGTCCTGGTCCTGGTCCTGGTCTTGGTCTTGGTCTAAAGGATACTGCTGATGATGGAGCAGAAGGTCCAGAGCGTGAGCAGGAGTCTGGTCTTGGTCCTGGTCTCTGGTCTTGGTCCTGGTCCTGGTCTCTGGTCCTGGTCCTGGTCCTGGTCCTGGTCCTGGTCCTGGTCCTGGTCTAAAGGATACTGCTGATGATGGAGCAGAAGGTCCAGAGCGTGAGCAGGAGTCTGGTCTTGGTCTGGTCTTGGTCCTGGTCTCTGGTCCTGGTCCTGTCTGGTCTGGTCTTGGTCTGTCTGGTCTCTGGTCTTGGTCTTGGTCCTGGTCTTGGTCTGGTCTGGTCCTGGTCTGGTCTGGTCTGGTCTGGTCTGGTCTGGTCTCTGGTCTTGGTCTGGTCTTGGTCCTGGTCTCTGGTCTGGTCCTGGTCTCTGTCTGGTCCTGGTCTCTGGTCTCTTGGTCCTGGTCTTGGTCCTTGGTCTAAAGGATACTGCTGATGATGGAGCAGAAGGTCCAGAGCGTGAGCAGGAGTCGGGTCTTGAACAGGGTCTTGCTGTGGACCTCGGGCTGCATCCAGAACGAGACCAGAGTCTGGACCAGGACTAGACTAAACAGGTAAAACAGGACTAAAACAGGAACAGGAACCAACCTAAAACAGGACTAAAACAGGTAAAACAGAGTACTAAAACAGGCCCCCTAAAACAGGACTAAAACAGGAACAGGGGAACAGACTAAACAGGACTAAAACAGGTCTTCTACAGGATAAACAGGACTAACAGGACTAAAAAGGACTAAAACAGGACTAAAACAGGACTAAAACAGGACTAAAACAGGACTAAAACAGGACTATAACAGGACTATAACAGGACTAAAACAGGTAACAGGACTAAAACAGGACTAAAAACAGGACTAAAACAGGACTAAAACCAGGACTAAAACAACAGGACTAAAAACAGGACTAAACAGGACTAAACCAGGTCTAAACCAGGTCTAAACCAGGACTAAACCAGGTCTAAACCAGGTCTAAACCAGGTCTAAACCAGGACTAAACCAGGTCTAAACCAGGACTAAACCAGGTCTAAACCAGAACTAAACCAGACTAAACCAGGTCTAAACCAGGTCTAAACCAGGTCTAAACCAGAACTAAACCAGGACTAAACCAGGTCTAAACCAGGTCTAAACCAGGAACCAGGTCTAAACCAGGACTAAACCAGGTCTAAACCAGGACAAACCAGGTCTAAACCAGGACTAAACCAAGATTCAAACTAAAATCTTTGTCGTGTTTGACCTCTGACCTGGAAGTTGGCGACGACACACATCCCGAGCGACGACACGACTCCGAAGAAAAGTCCGAGTCGGTTTAAGGCGACGAGACGAGAGTCCGAGTCCGAGGAGAGCGCCCCCACCTGTTTGTACCGCACGTACACCGTGAACACACCTGAGGACATGAGGAGACGAGGACAAGAGACACAAGGACGAGACGAGGGCATGAGGAGACGAGGGCATGAGGAGACGAGGGCATGAGAGACACGAGGACACGAGGAAACAAGGATACAAGGACACGAGGAGATGAAGACACGAGGACATGAGGAAACAAGGACACGAGGAAACAAGCACACAAGGAAACGAGGACAGAAGGATACGAGGAAACAAGGACACAAGGAAACAAGGACAGAAGGATACGAGGAAACAAGGACACAAGGAAACGAGGACAGAAGGATACGAGGAAACAAGGACACGAGGAAACAAGGACACAAGGAAATGAGGACAGAAAGATACGAGGAAACAAGGAAACAAGGACACAAGGAAACGAGGACAGAAGGATACGAGGAAACAAGGACACGAGGATACAAGGACACAAGGAAACGAGGACAGAAGGATACGAGGAAACAAGGACACGAGGAAACAAGGACACAAGGAAACGAGGACAGAAGGATACGAGGAAACAAGGACATGAGGATACAAGGACATGAGGAAACAAGGACACGAGGACATGAAGACACGAGGACACAAGGACACAGGACACGAGGACACAAGGATAGAAGGATACGGGGACAGAAGGATACGAGGAAACAAGGACACGAGGAAACAAGGACAGAAGGATACGAGGAAACAAGGACACGAGGAAACAAGGACAGAAGGATACGAGGACAGAAGGATAAGGAAACGAGGAACAAGGAGGACAAGGATACGAGGAAACACAAGGAAACAAGGACACAAGGAAACGAGGACAGAAGGATACGAGGAAACAAGGACACGAGGATACAAGGACACAAGGAAACGAGGACAGAAGGATACGAGGAAACAAGGACACAAGGAAACAAGGACACGAGGATACAAGGACACGAGGACACAACGAAACGAGGATACAAGGACACGAAGACACGAGGACACAAGGATACAAGGACATGAGGATACAAGGACATGAGGAAACAAGGACACGAGGACATGAAGACACGAGGACACAAGGAAACGAGGACACAGGACACGAGGACACAAGGATAGAAGGACACGAGGACACAAGGATACAAGGACACCGAGGACACAAGGACACGAGGACACAAGGACACGAGGACAAGAAAGAACAGTTTAGAAAAAAACATCAGTGTGTTTTTTTTCTCAAACGATTGAAGATTTAACTGTGGAATTGTGTTCAGTTTCATTTAAACTCGTCTGAAATCTGAATTTTAAACGTCTTAAATCCTCGCTGATTTATTGAATGAAACGGTTAACTACAGATTCATAAATAAATTCAGAAAATAGTCATTTAATTTAAGTTCTGAAAATTGAATAATTTAATTTAACTTCATCTGAGTGTTTAAATATGTTCAGTTTATTATAAATGTTGTAAAATCGTGTCAGTTTCTGTTTTTGGCCTTAGTCGACTTTTTATTTTTGTCTCGTGACACAAAAACAGAAGAGGAAGTGACAAATCAGGCCAAAGGGACAGTTTCAGCTCTAAATTTTTCACAAATATTTCTTCATTATAACAACGAGAGCTCGAACTGTTCCACTTTTGTCTGAACAAAACAGAAACGTTTTGAATTCTGGGTGAGTGTTTGTGGACGTACAGACGAGACACAAGGTTTGAATTAGAATATTTCACAATGAATGAAATAACTTCAATTAAAAAATAGATTAAATGGAAATAATTGGGGAAAAAAGCATTTGAATTTCTCACCTTGAGTTTTTTTCGATTTGAATTTCTCAACTTGAATTTTTTTCGATTTGAATTTTTCAACTTGAATTTTTTTTTTTTTTTGAATTTGAACTTGAATTTCTTTTATTTGAATTTCTCAACTTGAATTTTTTTCAATTAGAATTTTTTTCGATTTGAATTTCTCAACTTGAATTTTTTTCGATTTGAATTTTTTTCAATTTGAATTTCTCAACTTGAATTTTTTTCGATTTGAATTTTTTTCAATTTGAATTTTTTTCAATTTGAATTTCTCACCTTGAATTTTTTCGATTAGAATTTCTCACCTTGAATTTTTTTTCAATTTGAATTTCTCACCTTGAATTTTTTTCAATTTGAATTTCACACCTTGAATTTTTCTCAATTTGATTTTTTTTTATTGAATTTTTTTGCAATTTGAATTTCTCACCTTGAATTTTTTTTCAATTTGATTTTTTTTTTTACTGAATTTTTTTTATTTGAATTTCTCACCTTGAATTTTTTTCAATTTTTTTTATTTGAATTTTTTTTATTTGAATTTTTTTTTTATTTGAATTTCTCAACTTGAATTTTTTTTTATTTGAATTTTTTGCAATTTGAATTTCTCAACTTTGGTTTTGTCAGTTTAAATTAAAGATGCTGAAACGTCGTGTAAAATCACATCCACCAATCACATTTAATGTTTTTTTTTTTAATAATTATTTCCATTTCAACTATTTTTTTATTCAAGTTATTTCATTCATCATGAAATATTCTAATTCAAAACTTCGGCACATTTGTACGTCCATAAGTCTTTAACAGACGCATCAAGAATCTCAGACTTCAGGTCATCGTACAAATCAAACTGGGAAAGATCCTGTGAAAAAGTGAGCATCAAACCTCCATGTTTGTTTTCCCAGTGGGACGAGTCTGTTGACAAAGTCGATCTTTTCAAGTCTTTTGAACCATTTCAATTTGTTTCTGGTTCTGATATTGTCATATTTTAGTTTTGGGATTCGGACATCGTTAATTGTTGTGGTTGTTGGATCCAAACAGCGGAAAACGACTCCAAAAATGTGTTTGCGAACTGCATAAATGTAAAAGTCTTCTTGAGATTGTTGATGCGTCTATTAAGGCTTCAGAAAAAGTGAACATGGCCCGAAAAATTTCAACGGGCCACAACTTGGGAACGACTCAAGGGACTGAGCGAAAATTTGAGATTCTTTCATTTGGTCATTTTAGAAATTTTTTAGAATTTTTTTCAGCCAAATCTGAGCCGGCTCATGGGGGAGATTCATTAAAAACGTCTGATTTAATTTTCACCTATGCTCAAACATTAGTGCGTCAGGAGATTTGATTTGCACGCGGACGATGAGCCTCTGCGACGATTTTTAAACTCTTATTATTCGCGTTTTCGAGAAAAGTCATCTCACTCCTGCTTTTCTTTGTGTGAGAAAACGTTTCGGCGCCTCAGATTTTTTATAAACGAAGGATCTGAACCGTCGCTGCTCTGAGGGTTTTACCTAAAAAGGCCGAGACGTCCAACATGATCCCGAACACACAGCGCTCCGGAGCCATGGTCCCCGTGTCACTGAAACAAACCACACGGTGAGAGGAGGAGACAGGTGCAGACGGGTGCAGACGGGTGCAGACGGGTGCAGACGGGTGCAGTACCTGATGTAGGGCAGCAGGGGGTCCACATGTCTGAGGACGACGGCGGTGATGTAGGCGAAGACGAAGGCGGCGGACGTCCACACGACCAGAGCCGCGGGAAGAGCGCACAGACCCTGCTCGAACCACCACATCTGACCCAGACCGAGACCAGGACCGAGACCAGGACCGAGACCGAGACCAGGACCGAGACCGAGACCAGGACCACGACCGAGACCGAGACCAAGACCAAGACCACGATGAAGACCAAGAGAGAGAGGAAAAATAAAAATTAAAAATTACATTTAATACAAATTTTAAAAATCAATCAAATGACATGATAATAAATACATAATGAAATATAATTTTAAAAAAAAGAAAGAAATTATGAAAAATAATAAAATGAAATAATAACAAGCTAAAGAAATAATAAAAAGAAAAGAAAAAAAAGAAAAGAGAAATGGAATGGAATATTAAAAATAATCAAAGGAAATAATGAAAAAAATAAGATGAAATTAAATAATAAATGACAGTAATTGTAATAAAAAAGGAAAAAATTAAATGATAATAAATAATGAAAAATTATAAAATTAAATTTCAAAAATCTGAAATAAATAGTAAAATGAAAAAAATAAATAAAATACTAGAAAAAAAAATGAAATAAATAATGAAAATAAATTAAATTAAATAAAAAAATCTGAAAAAAAAAAAATAAATATAAGAATATAAAAATAATAATAAGATGAAATTAAATAATAAAAGACCTGGTTTAGTCCCAAAATAGTCCTGGTTTAGTTCTGGTTCAGATCTAGTTTAATCCTAGTTTAGTCTTGTTTTAGTCCTGTTTTAGTCCTAGTTTAGTCCTGTTTAGTCCTGGTTTAGTCCTGGTTTAGTCTTGTTTTAGTCCTGTTTTGGTCCTGATGGTTTAGTCCTGGTTTAGTCTTGTTTTAGTCCTGGTTTAGACCTGTTTTAGTCCTGTTTAGTGTTTGTAGTTTAGACCTGGTTTAGACCTGGTTTAGACCTGGTTCATCCTGGTTTCAGTCCTGGTTTGGTCCTGATGGTTTAGACCTGGTTTAGACCTGGTTTAGTCCTGGTTTAGACCTGGTTTAGTCCTGGTGGTTTAGATCTGGTTTAGTCCTGATGGTTTAGACCTGGTTTAGACCTGGTTTAGCCCTGATGGTTTAGTCCTGGTTTAGCCCTGATGGTTTAGACCTGGTTTAGTCCTGGTTTAGTCCTGGTTTAGCCCTGATGGTTTAGACCTGGTTTAGCCCTGATGGTTTAGTCCTGGTTTAGCCCTGATGGTTTAGACCTGGTTTAGACCTGGTTTAGTCCTGGTTTAGTTTTGCCTCTTGAAGGAAACGTTTAATTGAAGCTGAAGAGGAAATGCTTCGTTAAAGTCGCAGATGTTTCTTTGGAGGAAGTGAAACGAAATTATTTTTACTGTAAAAAAAAAAACAAAAAAACAAAAACGAACCCGAGTCAAACGCGATAAAAACGACATTTAACAAACATTTGACAAACGCACAAGAGTCTCCGGAGGTTTAGAGTGTAAAAGTGTAAAAGTTTAAGTTTTTCGGTCACATTTTCTCGTGTTTTTCATGCGGCGCTAATCAGTCTCACGTTACCCGCAGACCTCACCTCTCCGCCGGGCTGCAGCTCCGCCGGGGCTCGGGGACGGGGGGGAGGCTCCGGAGCTCCCCGAACAAACACAACAACAACAACAACAAAAATAACAAGAAAAACAACAACAACAACAACAGCAGCAGCAGCAGCGGAGCACGAGCCGCAGACGCACGACTCCCGCGTCTACGTCAACGATACGTCAACAAAGGCCGCCATCTTGGTACGGGAGAAAACGCCGGTTTAAAGTCCGAGACTAGACCTGGTTTAGTCCTGGTTTAGTCCTAGATTTGTCCTGGTTTAGACCTGATTTAGACCTGGTTTAGTCCTGGTTCAGTCCTACTTTAGTCCTGTTTTAGTCCTGGTTTAGTTCTGGTTTAGTCCTGTTTTAGTCCCAGTTTAGACCTGGTTTAGTTCTGGTTTAGTCCCCGTACCAAGATGGCCGCGGTATAAACATACGCCGTGCTCACTGCGCATGCTCCCCGCGCTCTCCCCGGGGTTTGGACTCTCAGGCGCTCAACTCCGTCAGACCGACTCCGAAAAAACGACCACAACACTCCAGAATTTCCGCTTAAAGCTTCACTTAAAACGTAATAACGAAACTTAGCGTCGCGTTTGTTTATTCCTGATTTTATGTTGCGTTTTATTGACGTTCTGATGTCAAAGTTTGTCGTTTTCAGACGCGGAGCTGCGGAGGGGGGAGGAGGACAAAGCGCAGGGGGAAATTCGGGACAACGCGTGGGGTTTTCTCCGTAAACTGGAATTTTTCTTGAGGTTAGTAAATTAAAAATAAATAAATGTGTGGTGTTTACAGACTCACACTGTTGCACATGCGCTCTCAGGTCGTGTAAACCCGGGTTCGGTCCAGTCCCGGTTTTCACGGGGTTTTTTCATTTGTTTGTTTTGTTTGTTGTTGTCGTGAAGCAGCTGGAAAAAACTCCGTGAATCTGGATTTTTAAAAATGTATTGTTTAATTTATTTCAGAGGTTCCACGATGCGTTTATTTAGTTGTGCGTAAAAAAAAAAAAAAAAGTTTGGAGTTTGGAGAGCACATCAAAGTTTTGTGAAAATGGTGTAAAGCAAAGTTTAGTCCTGCTTTAGACCTGGTTTAGACCTAAAATAGTCCTGGTTTAGACCTGGTTTAGTCCTGGTTTAGACCCAGTTTAGTCCTGGTTTGGTCCCGGTTTAGAACTGGTTTAGTCTTGGTTTAGTCCTGGTCTAGTCCTGGTCTAGATCTGGGGACTGAGACCGGGACAGAGACTGGGGCCGAGACTGAAAATGGGATAGTTTTAAACTAAAACCAGGACTTAAACCAGGACTAAAAAAGTTACACACTGTGGCTTTAAATGTGTTGCTTTTCTTTTTTTGATAAAAGTGGAATCAGTTTGTTTTAAAAGTGTCAGAGGTGAAAGTGTGAACGAGTCTGTGAAGGACTTCACTCTTCTCTTCTCCTTCTCCTTCTTCTTCGTGTGCAGATGGCGTCCGGAGCAGACGGACTTTTAAAGTGTGAAAAATGTGAGAAATCGTTTCAAACGTCTCGAGCGTTGAAGATTCACACGCGGCACCACGACCGCTCCAAACACCAGTGCCCCGTCTGCAGACTCGAGTTCACCTACGCCAGAGAACTGCAGCTGCACCACAGGGTCTGCAGGTACCACGCCCCCTGCAGGCGCAGGACTACTGACCCACTACTGACCGACCACTGACCGAACACTGACCGACCACTGACCGAACACTGACCGACTACTGACCTACCACTGACCGACTACTGACCTACCACTGACCGACTACTGACCACTGACCGACTACTGACCGACTACTGACCGACCACTGACTGACACTGACCGACCACCGACACTGACCAACCACCGACACTGACCGACCACTGACACTGACCTACCACTAACCGACTACTAACCGACTACTGACCGACCACTGACTGACACTGACCGACCACCGACACTGACCAACACAGACACTGACCGACCACAGACACTGACCGACTACTGACACTGACCGACTACTGACACTGACCGACTACTGACACTGACCGACTACTGACACTGACCGACTACTGACACTGACCGACCACAGACACTGGCCAATCACTGACCTCTGACCTCACCTCGTCGTCTGTAACTGAATTATGGTCTGTTTTTTTCTTCAGTAAAAGAACATGGCGGCCCGGCGCGGCGGGCAGTGCCGCGTCGCGTCTGTGGAAGTGCGGCGAGTGCGGGAGGACGTCTCTGTCGAAGGAGCAGCTCCGCGCGCACAGGCTGATGCACGACGCCGAGCGAACCTACGACTGCCGCGTCTGTGGGCGGAGCTTCGCCAAGTTCCACAGTCTGAACCGACACCAGGACCAGCACCGACAAGACCGAGACCGGGACCAAGACCGGGACCAGGACCAGCACCGACAAGACCGGGACCAAGACCGAGACCGGGACCAAGACCGGGACCAGGACCAGCACCGACAAGACCGGGACCAAGACCAGACGACAAGACGAGACCGGACCAAGACCGGGACCAGGACCAGCACCGACAAGACCGAGACCGGGACCAAGACCAGGACCAGGACCGGCACCAAGAAGACCGGGACCAGGACAGACAAAACCAGGACCGCAACGAAGAGCGGGGAGCGACATTCACCCTCCGAAAACTCCAGACAATAAAAGAGAAAAACATCAGGTAAGAGAAACCAGGACTAAACCAGGACTAAACCAGGACTGAACCAGGACGAGACCAGGACTAAACCAGGACTGAACCAGGACTAAACCAGGACTGAACCAGGACTAAACCAGGACTAAACCAGGACTAAACCAGGACTAAACCAGGACTAAACCAGGACTAAACCAGGACTAAACCAGGACTAATCCAAGTGTCCTGGGTCACATTTGAAAAAATCATTAAAATTTCAGATACAGGAACATAGGGGCAGTTGGATTTGGGAACTTCAGGTGCAGTTTGAACACAACTTTAGTGTTTTGTTGGTGAGATCCACAAATCAAAAACAGAGGCGACAGTCGTTGAGTCGACACTGAACTGTACACGGCTCTTGTCCGTCCTGAGCTCGGCCGTCGGTTCTGCTGCAGGTCCGGGTCTGGTTTGGTGGGAGACACTGGGACCAGGAGCCACAGGGGGGCGCCGGCTCACCAAACTGTTGTTGTGTCTCTCGGCAGGACACTTGAGCCGCAGAGTGTGAGCGAGCTGTGAGCGGCGACGGAGCAGATGGAAAGACCAAAGAGTGTGTCACATGTTCATCAGTGTCCAGGTTCTGTCAGTGTTCGTGTTTCTGTGTTTACATGTTCACTGACAAACCTGGACACTCATGTCCACGTCACATGATCAAATGTTGTGTCCCGGTTTCTTCACATAATCTTACAAATGCACAAGCGCAAAACTGAACTTAAATCAATTTCATAAACCAGGAAAAATACAAACCGTGAGCTCCTTTAGCGTCAGAAGCTAAGGAGCTACGAGATCTCCCACAATCCACTGCTCACATCAAACCAACAGATTCTTCAGTCAAATCTTCTGCAGAAATAAACTCAACTTTACAACATATAAACCAGAAACACTAGACACAAAACTTAAAGGTTGTATAGAAGATTTTCCAAGGAAAGAGAAATGCAGCGACTGTTTGTCCTTTTATAAATGTTGCGCTTCGCACCTTTTCCCCTTCTCTTCTTCTTTCAGCAACATCAAAAACAGACTTTCTTTTGCGGCGAACCGGTCGTGAATTCTTCTCTGCCAGTAAATCAAAATTTGTGCAAACTGAGAGCTACAGTTCAAAAAAGACGCCAAGAACCGCTAAACATGAACCGCGAACATAAACCACACAATCCCAGCGCGTCGGCAAGTCAGCGACGCTAGAAACGTAGGGAGTTTGATTGACAACCTAACAGCCAATAGGTAAAGAGGTAGCCTTGTTTTCTATTGGCTGATGTTTATCTGCCCTCACTACATCCACAGTTGATGGATTTTCATTCTTTTTTTTGGTCATCATAATTACAAGGCTGCTGCTTCTTTATAATTCTATTTTGAACTTTCATTGACAATTAGAAAAAATATTTTAAAAAATCCTCCATACAACCTTTAAGACCGTTTGGCTAATTAGCATAAACTGTTAGCGGTGATAAAAACAGCTGCTCCTTGTGCCGCTGATGTGGTTCAGTTTCTTTTGGACTAAAAGACACGACTCTGTGGATTATGTGAGTTGTTTTAGTGACAGAAGAGGTGCTGATGATGGTGAGTCTGTTCTGTGTGTGTTGTTCAGGAGATAGTTCATGTTTTAGTTTTTCAGTGTCACACGAGTGCAGATTGTACATGTGCAGGTTTAGTGCAGCTCTTTATTTTACAGTCATTTCACTCGTTTGGTCATTTTATTTATGTTGGTCAATTTATTTATGTCTCTACTGTTGTGGTGAAAGGCTGGAAAGTGTCTTTTGGACACATGTGACTCAACTTTATGTTGCAGTAACCGGGATACTGCGTTTACATGCCACAGTATCCCGGTTACTATCGGAATAAACCAGCTACAGTAACACGGTTTCTAATAACCGGGACACTGCATTTAGATCAGAAGTGTCAAACTAATTTTGTTCCGGGGGTCGAGTCCAACCGACTTTGATCCAAAGTGTCCGGATCAGAAAACTCATGTCATATAAACCCCAAAAATAACAATAAGTTCAAATATTTGTGCAGAGAAACACAAATCTATTACACAAATCTTTTTTAATTGATGAACTCTTTCTTTTACAAAATATTATAATATTATGAACAACCTGAAACTTTAAGAAAAATACAATTTCAACACAAAGTTTGAACATGAACTTGTCTGTAAATAAGAATAAGTCAATTTTTGTTGTAAAATCCTGCACTCGGCTCCACTTTTCTCATGTTGGACATTTTTCTGATGAGGGTGTCACGGTCAACAGTCAAAACGATCGTCCTTTAAGAGCGTTTGGAAAGAGACAAGTCTTCATTTGTGCTGCTCTGGTGGGAGGGGCCACGTACAGAGACGCTGGAGACGCTGCTGTGATAAACACCACAGAAAATTAACACCATTTTAATAAAAAATATAATAAAAATATTTGAGTAGAAAATCAGCCGAGGGCCAGATTAAAGGTCTTGGAGGGCCGGATCTGGCCCCCGGGCCGCATATTTGACACCTGTGGTTTAGATGAACCATGAAGAAACCGGGAGACTCAAAAATCCCGATCATAACCGGGTTATTGATGTGCTGTAAACACACTCACTGAATTCACCTTCTTCCGTTCTCAGGAAGCACAGAGTCCAGGTCGCCCACCGACCCCAGCGCAGACGCCTCCTCCACCTCCAGGAAACGCCGACGGGGGCCGAGGGCTTCGGGTGCGACCAGTGTGAGGTGAGATGCTTCACGGCGAACGCCCTGCGGAGACACCTGCTGCTGCACTCGCCCGCGCGGCCGCACCAGTGCCCCCAGTGCAGCTGGAGGTTCACCAACCGCAAGAACCTGAAGCACCACCTGACCACGCACCAGGACGAGAAGCCGCACGCCTGCCACGTCTGCGGCAAGAGCTTCGCCCTCGAGACGCGACTCAAAGATCACCAGCTCCACCACCTGAAGGTCAGACCCCACCCCTGCTCCAAGTGCGGGAAGAGCTTCACCAGACCCTACCTCCTGAGGGTTCATCTGCTGAAGGAGCATCCCTGGAGCTACACGGACGAGACGGAGGACGGAGCGGAGCAGACGAGCGAGAAGAAGAGGAGAGGGTCAGAGGAGCAGAGGAGAGGGTCAGAGGAGAAGAGGAGAGGGTCAGAGGAGAAGAGGAGAGGTCAGAGGAGAAGAGGAGAGGGTCAGAGGAGAAGAGGAGAAGGTCAGAGGAGCAAACGGAGCAGACGAGAGGGTTAGAGGAAAAGAAGAGATGGTCAGAAGATGCAGAGGAGCAGAGGAGAGGGTCAGAGGAGCAGAACAGCCCTCACTTCTGTCCAGAGGAGCAGACGAGAGGGTCTGAGGTTTTGGAGGAGGAAAGGAGAGGGTCAGAAGATCCAGAGGAGCGTCGGGAGCGAGGTGAAGGAGCGTGGGAGCAGAAGGTGAAGGAACGTCGGTGCGAGTGGAGCGAGCGCCGACACGAGTACAAACAGGACGGGGTTTTCGAGTGCAGCCACTGCGGCAAGAAGTTCACGAAGAAGCGAGGCCTGCTGGTCCACACCTGCGCCCACAGCGAGCAGAGCGGGCGCCACAGGTGCGACAGGGGCAGGTGCGCGCGCAGCTTCGCCACCGCCGCCGAACTGCGCCGACACCGCCAGTTCCACAGCGTCTCCGGAGCCAAGAAGAGGGAGCGACGGATCCAGTGCGGCCAGTGCGAGCGCCGCTTCCAGACGGCGTACCACCTGAAGATGCACCAGCGCTCGCACGCCGCGCCCAACGAGCACGCCGCGGCGCGGAGAGCGAAGAGCGAGAACGCCGCGGCGCGGAGAGCGAAGAGCGAGAACGCCGCGGCACGACTACAAGAGGCGGGGAAGAGTGAGAGCGAAACGCCGCGACTACAGGGGGCGGTGAGGAGCGAGAACGCCACACCGAGCGAGCACGCCACGGCACGACTCCAGGGGGCGGCGAGGAGCGAACACGAAACACCGCGAGTCCAAGGAGCGGCGAAGAGCGAGAAGACGACACAGTGCAGCTCTGAGGAACATCAGGAGGAGAAAGGTGAGACCCAAAGACCAACAACAGCTTCTGTTTGTCACATTGTGTCGTGTCGTTTCTGAACCGATTTTTCGTTCTGGAGCCTCGTTTATTTTCGTTCTGCATTTTGTTTTATTTTGGTGTTAATTTTTTTGTCCTGGAGTTTGGTTTTTGTTCTGGAGTTTTTTTTTAATTCTAGAGTTTTTTTTTTCACTGTGGAGTTAGTTTTGTCTTTCTGAAGTTATTTTTTTTTGTTCTGGAGTCTCATTTTTTTTGTTCTGGAGTTTCGTTTTTTTTGTTCTGGAGTTTAATTTTTTCGTTCTGGAGTTTCCTTCTGCATTTTGTTTTATTTTGACGTTAGTTTTTTTGTTCTGGAGTTTTTTGGGGTTTTTTTCGTTCTAGAGTTCGTTTTTTTGTTCTGGAATCTCGTTTTTTTTGTTCTGGAGTTTTTTGGGTTTTTTTTTTTCTGTTCTAGAGTTCATTTTTTTTCATTCTAAACTTTGTTTTTTCGTTCTGGAGTTTTGATTTTTCCGGTCTGAAGTCTTGTTTTTTCGTTCTGTCTCGTTTTTCCGTTCTGGAGTTTTGTTTTTTTGTTCTGGAGTTTAGTTTTTTCCGTTCTAGAGTTCTTTTTTTTTCATTCTAAAGTTCGTTTTTTTCATTCTGGAGTTGATTTTTCCATTCTGAAGTCTCGATTTTTTCGTTCTGGAGTTTAGTTTTTTCATAAATCTGCCCCATCACCAAATGTTGAACCAACAAACTCCACAAAGGAGAAACATTCTTCATGAACAATTTATCCAAAACGATCAAGAGAAGAAAGAACAAAACTTAAAGGAAACAACGAGACTCATGAGTCACAACAACAAACTCAACTCATGTTCTGATCAGGAACAAAACAGAAGCAGTTTGTTCACTCAGATTCATCAGTGTCCTGAAAGTGAAATGGTGCGACTTGACTCGGCCGTAGTGACCAGGGACCATCACCATCACGTAGCAACGCACCAGAGGTTTCTGAAAATCTAGAGTTTGTCGGCCAAAAAAAGCAGAACATTGTTCTCGTATCGAAATATTCTTCTTCTTTCTTCTTATTTTTTTCCTAACCAACTCATCCATTTTTCAGCCACTGAACCGTGATGAAAAGTCCTGAAATTTTGTCGTCTGGTAAAACTCGCGCTTCTCTAACTTTTGGCTGTTTCCATTTTCCAAACAGAAATAAAATGTCTCGTCAGCCCCAAACCACTCAACAGTCGTTTTTCAATATAAAACCAAAAATAAGAAAACAAAAAAACAACAGGTTTTCTTCGTTATTTGTCTCCAAAACCAAAATGAAAAAAACAGATAATGATTCGTTTTTTCAGTTTTCGATTTTGTGTTTAAATGAAAAATGGAAAAAACAGATAACGGCCGTTTCCCGTTTACGTGACTTCAGTGACTGTGAGAATCAGACTGACTGACCAGGACTGACTGATCCAGGACTGAACCAGGACTGAACCAGACGACTGATCCAGGACTGATCCAGGACTCAGGACTGACTGATCCAGGACTGACTGTCCAGGACTGACTGATCCAGGACTGACTGATCCAGGACTGATCCAGGACTGATCCAGGACTGATCCAGGACTGATCCAGGACTGAACCAGGACTGATCCAGGACTGAACCAGGACTGATCCAGGCCTGATCCAGGTCCGGGACCAGAGCAGGACCAGACTCCGAGCCTCAGCTTCGAGCTCCGGCCCTGCTGTGGTCTGGTCCCAGTCTGGTCCTGGACCTGGTCCATTTGAACCAAAAGCTCTTAGTTCGGTTTGTTTTCGTTGGTGTGAAAGTGTCAGTTTGATGTTTTGCTCCACCTCAGAACCAGCAGCTCGTCCACACGGAACCAGCGCACAGACGACGACACGGAACCACTCGGACCACTGGTCTCAGTCTCAGTCCTGGTCTGGTCCCGGTCTCAGTCCTAGTCTGGTTTTGGTCTGGTCTCGGACCTGGATCAGTCCTGGTTCAGTCCGTACGCGATGCAAAAGTCCAACATCACAGTCACTGAAGTCACGTAAACGGGAAACGGTCGTTATCTGTTTTTTCCATTTTTCATTTAAACACAAAATCGAAAACTGAAAAAACGAATCATTATCTGTTTTTTTCATTTTGGTTTTGGAGACAAATAATGAAAAAAACTGTTGTTTTTTTTCCGTTTTCTTATTTTTGGTTTTATATTGAAAAACAAATGAACGAACGACACACAGATTTAATACAAATTTACACATTTACATAAAAACCATGACCCTGAAGTTCCACAAAGCTCCAGACTCTCCAGACTCTGACAAAGGTCGGGATCAGTTCTTGAGTTTTGTCGCCTTCACAGATTAAATTCGTTCTTCTGTGTTTGTCGTGTCGTTTGGACTCGGTGAAGTCGACTCTTTTAGTCGAGTCCAAATGTAAAAAAAGGAGAAAAAAAAAAGATCATTTCTCTTCATATTTGCACATTAAACTCTTCTTCTTTTATTCTCTTCAGACGCTGTGACCCAAAGTGAACCACGCCCCGCCCCCACAGGACGACGCCCCCTGCTGGAGCACGACGAGAACCACGACGAGAACCACGACGAGAACCACGACGAGAACCACGACGAGAACCACGACGAGAACCACGACGAGAACCACGACACAGACGAGCGCGAGGACATCAGCGGGCGCGACGAGGACGACGGGCGCGACTCCTGCTCCACCCTGAGCGTCGTTCTGGACTCGGACTCAGACTTGGTCCCGACGCCGGAGCCGGACGTGACCCTCGGGCGGCGAACACGAGAAGAACCCGGCGCCGAAACCCACCGCGTGTCTTTAAACGATTCTCTGCAGCTCCAGAACCGGACGCCCACGATCGAGTGCGACGTTTGCGGGCAGATCTTCAAACGGCGGCGTTACCTGACGCAGCACAAGCGGCTGCACCTGCCGCTCCGGCCGCACACCTGCCACGACTGCGGCAAAGGCTTCGTCAAACCCCACCTCCTGCGCGAGCACCGGAGCCGACACCACCCGGACGCCGACGCCGCCGCCGCAGGAGGAGGAGCCGGGACCAGGCGCTTCCTCTGCACGGACTGCGGCGCTCGGGTCGACCTGAGCTTCACCTCCGTCACAAATGTGTTCTGTGTGAGCGACTTGACTCACATCAAATGTTTCATTAAAAATCACAATTTAGTTTGACGCCAAATAAAAATCACTTTCTACCTCAACCAGTCGTCTTCACTCACGGCTCGTCTGGCGGCTCGTCTGGTGTGGCTCGTGTGGTGTGATGTGGCTCGTGTGATGTGGCTCGTGTGGTGTGATGTGGCTCGTGTGATGTGGCTCGTGTGATGTGGCTCGTGTGATGTGATGTGGCTCGTGTGGCTCGTGTGATGTGATGTGGCTCGTGTGATGTGGCTCGTGTGTGATGTGGCTCGTGTGTGATGTGGCTCGTGTGATGTGGCTCGATGTGGTGTGTGATGTGGCTCGTGTGATGTGGCTCGATGTGGCTCGTGTGGTGTGGCTCGTGTGGTGTGATGTGGCTCGTGTGATGTGGCTCGTGTGGTGGCTCGTGTGGAGTGATGTGGCTCGGTCGTGTGGTGTGGCTCGTGTGGTGATGTGGCTCGTGTGATGTGGCTCTGTGGCTCGTGATGTGGCTCGTGTGTGATCGTGTGATGTGTGTGGCTCGTGTGGTGTGATGTGGCTCGTGTGTGATGTGGCTCGTGTGATGTGGCTCGTGTGATGTGATGTGGCTCGTGTGGAGTGATGTGGCTCGATGTGGCTCGGATGTGAATGTGTGATGTGGCTCGTGTGATGTGAGTGATGTGGCTCGTGTGTGTGTGTGTGTGTGTGATGTGGCTCGTGTGTGATGTGGCTCGTGTGTGATGTGTGTGTGATGTGGCTCGTGTGATGTGATGTGGCTCGTGTGTGTGATGTGGTGTGTGTGATGTGGCTCGTGTGTGATGTGGCTCGTGTGTGATGTGGCTCGTGTGTGATGTGGCTCTGTGATGTGGCTCGTGTGGAGTGATGTGGCTCGTGATGTGGCTCGTGTGATGTGATGTGGCTCATGTGGAGTGATGTCAAAGAGGAGGAGAGGGTCAGAAGTTCAGGAGGGTCGGGGTCAGATTAGGGTCAGGGGGTCAGAGGAGGGTCAGGGGGTCAGATTAGGGTCAGGGGGTCAGAGGAGGGTCAGATTAGGGTCAGGGGGTCAGAGGAGGGTCAGGGGTCAGATTAGGGTCAGAGGGGGGTCAGAGGTCAGAGTGTGGTGTGTGTTCGTGGACAAAGAGCCGGAGTCGGAGTTTGATTTAAAAAAAGGTTTTAACTTAGAGAAGCACAGACAGCGAGTTTATTTACAAAGGCCAACGCCATGACAACGCTTACAAAAACAAAAGACAGGGGCGACAGGGGCGACAGGAGTGACAGGGTGAGAGGAGTGACAGGGGCGACAGGGGCGACAGGAGTGACAGGTGTGAGAGGAGTGACAGGGGCGACAGGGGTGACAGGAGTGACAGGTGTGACAGGAGTGACAGGGGCGACAGGAGTGACAGGTGTGACAGGGGCGACAGGTGAGCACCGCGTCTCTGGAAAACCCCTGTGGATGAGTCCAGGACCGAGACAAACTGAGTCTGGACGAGGATCTTCTGCTCAGGACCAGACTCGGACCAGACTCAAAACGAGAGAAGAACACTGAACGGCAACGACAGCAGCAACACACCGGGTTAGTCCTGGTTTAGTCCTGGTTTAGTCCTGGTTTAGTCCTGGTTCAGTCTAGATGTAGTTCTTTTTCAGTCCAGATTTAGTCCTGGTTTAGTTCTGTTTCAGTCTGGGTTTAGTCCTGGTTTAGTTCTGTTTCAGTCTGGGTTTAGTCCTGGTTTAGTTCTGTTTCAGTCTGGGTTTAGTCCTGGTTTAGTTCTGTTTCAGTCTGGGTTTAGTCCTGGTTTAGTTCTGTTTCAGTCTGGGTTTAGTCCTGGTTTAGTTCTGTTTCAGTCTGGGTTTAGTCCTGGTTTAGTTCTGTTTCAGTCTGGGTTTAGTCCTGGTTTAGTTCTGTTTCAGTCTGGGTTTAGTCCTGGTTTATTACTGACTTCATCTTTGGCTCAGTCCCACACAGTTTAGTAACATCTTACTGTTCAGACCTGGTTTGGTCCTGGTTTAGTCCTGGTTTAGTCCTGGTTTAGTCCTGGTTTAGTCCTGGTTTAGACCTGGTTTAGACCTGGTTTAGTCCTGGTTTAGACCTGGTTTAGACCTGGTTTAGTCCTGGTTTAGTTCTGGTTTAGACCTGGTTTAGTTCTGGTTCAGTCCTGGTTTTTCAGTTTTGTTTTTTTGAACCTTTGAAATGTTTAAATATTTTTGTTGTAACAGAAGGTGGAGGAGGTTGAAGGTTGAAGGTTGAGGAGGTTTTTGAAAATCCTCCAGAGCAGCGACGACGAGACACGAGGACGAGGAGTGTGGACTCGACTCGACTCGACTCGGAGAAAAGTATAAATGACCTCTGGATGAAAGAAGTAACGAGATTTGGAGTCGGGACCTGAGCAGATTCTCCGGAGTCATTTTCAACAAGAACAAGAAGAACATGAGGAGGAACATGAGGAGGAACATGAGGAGGAACATGAGGAGGAACATGAGGAGGAACATGAGGAGGAACATGAGGAGGAGGAACATGAGGAGGAGGAACATGAGGAGATGAAGCAGACACGTCGGGGTGGAGTGACAGCGCCCTCTGCTGATGAAAAAGTGACACTGATTAAAGTTTAATATTTGGATTTTCCTCAAACACGAACGCGAAGCCGACGGATCCAACCAGAAGTTTTAAGAACGTCCCCCTCATCCAACAGAGGAACCTGAGGGACCAGACTAGAGGAACCAGAGAGGGACCTGATGGACCAGAAGGAACCTGAGGAACCTGAGGAGACCTGAGGAACCTGATGGACCAGAGGAACCAGAGGAACCTGATGGACCAGAGGAGACCAGAGGAACCTGAGGAGACCAGAGGAACCAGAGGAGACCAGACGGAACCTGATGGACCAGAGGAACCAGAGGAACCAGAGGAGGTCACTGTGAGGTCATGAGGACAGAGGAGACGAGGCGGTTAGGAGGTTAGGGGAGGTTAGGGGAGGTTAGGAGAGGAGATGAGGAGACGAGGAGACGAGGACGGAGGGCGCAGGAGGGAGGGAGCAGGTGTCAGTGGTGTCCCGCGGGGGGCGCTGTGGAGACGCTCTTGATCTTGAAGACGTGGATGTGGAGGTGGCAGGCGATCTGGTTACACACGCTGACGCAGTAACGCACCAGGTCGAACAGGGACAGCACCTGACGCACAACGACACAAACGCACAACGACAAGGTCACACAACAACGTCGAGCTGTGCGTTTCTGACCCTGGATCAGTGTGTTTCTGACCCTGGATCAGTGTCTTTCTGACCCTGGATCAGTGCGTTTCTGACCCTGGATCAGTGTTTCTGACCCTGGCAGTGTTTCTGACCCTGGATCAGTGCCTTTCTGACCCTGGATCAGTGCCTTTCTGACCCTGGAGCAGTGTTTCTGACCCTGGATCAGTGTGTTTCTGACCCTGGATCAGTGCCTTTCTGACCCTGGATCAGTGCGTTTCTGACCCTGGATCAGTGCCTTTCTGACCCTGGATCAGTGCGTTTCTGACCCTGGATCAGTGTTTCTGACCCTGGAGCAGTGTTTCTGACCCTGGATCAGTGTGTTTCTGACCCTGGATCAGTGTGTTTCTGACCCTGGATCAGTGCGTTTCTGACCCTGGATCAGTGTGTTTCTGACCCCGGATCAGTGCGTTACTGACCCCGGATCAGTGCGTTTCTGACCCTGGATCAGTGCGTTTCTGACCCTGGATCTGTGTGTTTCTGACCCTGGATCTGTGTGTTTCTAACCCTGGATCAGTGCGTTTCTGACCCTCTAACCATGGAGTTGTTTGTTTCTGACCCCTCTGACACGAGTTTTTTTTTTGTTTCTGACCCCTCTCACCCTGTAGTTTTGAGTTTCTGACCCTGGAGTTATTGGTTTCTGACCCCTCAAATACTGGATCTGTGTGTTTCTGACCCTGGAGCAGTGCGTTTCTGACCCTGGATCAGTGTGTTTCTGACCCTGGATCAGTGTGTTTCTGATCCTGGATCTGTGTGTTTCTGACCCTGGAGCTGTGTTTCTGACCCTGGAGCTGTGTTTCTGACCCCTCTAACCCTGGAGTTGGGTGTTTCTGATCCTCTGACCCTGGTGTTTCTAGCCTAGTCTGTTTCTGACCCTATGATCCTTGTGTTTCTGACCCATCTGACCCCGGTGTTTCTGACCCCGGTGTTTTCTGACCCCGGGTCAGCAGGACTCACCAGCGCCGCCCACAGCACCAGATACTCGTCGATGAAACTGTTGAAATACTGATCGAGGAACAGAAGCCCAGGCCCCAGGAACGAGAAATCATGAAGGTGCATCTCACTCTTGGTCATGTGGGCCACCTGCAACAAACACACACACACACACACACAACACACAAGAGCTAAGTCACTCCCCCTTCAGAGCACTATCAAGTTCAAGTTTGTTTTTCACTTCACATTTCACTAAAACTCACTTCACATCATCACGTCTGAAATTTTACAAAAATCCCGTCTTTCCTGGTTTATTTTTGTTTTGTTTATAAAGTTTCTTCCTGGTTGGACGCAGCAGCAGCAGCAGCAGCAGCAGCAGCAGCAGCAGCAGCAGCAGCGACGAACGGAAACGACACAAAAGTCCATAAATGTAAATAAAAGTGTTGTGTTTGTGTCGACGACCGAGGCAGAGATTCTGTTTTACACTTCAGCACGTCCTGGACTTTTACACTTTTATCCACAAACGGCCGTAAAACTGACAAATATTAACCACAGGACACAAGTGCAGAGTCTGAGCCGGTCCTCATCAGTCTGACCCTTTACACTCATGTTTACGTGTCGTTTACATGTCGTTTACGAGTCGTTAAACATGTTGTTTATGTGTCATTTTCATGTCATTTTACGTGTTGTAGAACATAATTTATGTCGTTTCCGTGTCATTTACATATAGTTTACATATTGTCGTCTTGTCGTTTACATTTTGTTTATGTGTCGTTTACGTCTAATTTACATACAATTTATGTGTCATTTACATGTCATTGACATGTTGTTTGTCTGTCCTTTATGTGTCGTTTACATATAGTTTACGCGTTGTTGTCTTGTTGCTTACATGTCATTTACGTGTTGTACGTGTCCTTTTTGTGTCGTCTTCGTGTTGTCGTTTTTTAGTTCATGTGTCGTTTTCGTGTCCTGTAACATGTGGTGGAACATGTTGTATTGTGTGGTGTAACGTTTCATGTAACATGTGGTGTAAACATGTGGTGTAAACATGTCGTGTAACATGCGGTGTAAACATGTCGTGAAACATGCGGTGTAAACATGCTGTGTAAACATGTGGTGTAAACATGTGGTGTAAACATGCGGTGTAAACATGCGGTGTAAACATGCGGTGTAAACATGCGGTGTAAACATGTCATGTAAACATGTCATGTAAACATGTGGTGTAAACATGCTGTGTAAACATGCTGTGTAAACATGCGGTGTAAACATGTGGTGTAAAGATATCGTGTAACATGTGGTGTAAACATGTGGTGTAAACATGTGTGTAAACATGTGGTGTAAACATGTGGTGTAAACATATTGTGTAACATGCGGTGTAAACATGTGGTGTAAACATATCGTGTAACATGTCGTGTAAACATGCGGTGTAAACATGGTGTAACATGTGGTGTAAACATGCGGTGTAAACATGTGGTGTAAACATGTGTGTAAACATGCGGTGTAAACATGTGGTGTAAACATGTGGTGTAACATGTCGTGTAAACATGTGGTGTAAACATGTGGTGTAAACATGTCGTGTAAACATGCTGTGTAAACATGTGGTGTAAACATGCGGTGTAAACATGTCGTGAAACATGTGGTGTAAACATGTGGTGTAAACATGTGGTGTAAACATGTCGTGTAAACATGCTGTGTAAACATGTGGTGTAAACATGCGGTGTAAACATGTCGTGAAACATGTCGTGTAAACATGTGGTGTAAACATGTGGTGTAAACATGTCGTGAAACATGTCGTGTAACATGTGGTGTAAACATGTGGTGTAAACATGTCGTGTAACATGTGGTGTAAACATGTCGTGTAAACATGTGGTGTAAACATGTGTGTAAACATGTGGTGTAAACATGTCGTGAAACATGTGGTGTAAACATGTGGTGTAAACATGTGGTGTAAACATGTCGTGTAAACATGTTGTGTAAACATGCGGTGTAAACATGTGGTGTAAACATGTGTGTAAACATGTGGTGTAAACATGTGGTGTAAACATGTGGTGTAAACATGTGGTGTAAACATGTGGTGTAAACATGTGGTGTAAACATGTGGTGTAAACATGTGGTGTAAACATGTGTGTGTAAACATGTGGTGTAAACATGTGGTGTAAACATGTCGTGTAAACATGTCGTGTAAACATGCAGCGGCGGCGGCTCTTACCACCAGTTTGTTGGTGATCTTGGCCGACACGAAGCCGAATGCCAGGATGTAGAGGCAGGGGTGTCTCTGGAACAGCCCCACCGCAGATTTCTTATAAATCATCATGGCCAGAATGATCACGGTCCCAATGTGCAGGACCGGAGACAGGACGCTGGTGCCCTGACACACACACACACACACACACACACACACAGACACACACACACACACACACACACACACAGACAGACAGGGCCGACAGGGACAAACAGGTCAGACAGGACTTTAAAATCAGAAGATGCTGCTCAGAGTCTACAGTGAACTTTCTGACCCTCTGACCCTGGAGCAGTGCGTTTCTGACCCTGGATCTGTGCGTTTCTGACCCTGGAGCTGTGTTTCTGACCCTGGAGCTGTGTTTCTGACCCTCTGACCCTGGAGCTGTGCGTTTCTGACCCTGGAGCTGTGCGTTTCTGACCCTGGATCAGTGCGTTTCTGACCCTGGAGCTGTGCGTTTCTGACCCTGGAGCTGTGTTTTTGACTCTCTGACCCTGGAGGTGTGTTTCTGACCCTGGAGCTGTGCGTTTCTGACCTTGGAGCTGTGCGTTTCTGACCCTGGATCTGTGCGTTTCTGACCCTGGATCTGTGCGTTTCTGACCCTGGATCTGTGTGTTTCTGACCCTGGAGCTGTGCGTTTCTGACCCTCTGACCCTGGAGCTGTGCGTTTCTGACCCTGGAGCAGTGCGTTTCTGACCCTGGAGCTGTGCGTTTCTGACCCTGGATCTGTGCGTTTCTGACCCTGGAGCTGTGCGTTTCTGACCCTGGAGCTGTGCGTTTCTGACCCTGGATCTGTGCGTTTCTGACCCTGGAGCAGTGCGTTTCTGACCCCTCGCTGTTGACCCCGGTGGGCGTGGACACTCACAGCGATGGTGGAGCCGTTCTTGCCCACTCCTCCGGTGAAGATCACTCTGAAGTAGTTTGTGCAGGAGAAAATGGCTCCTAAGAACGTGAAGAAGGCGGGAACCATCTTCATCTGAACGTTCA